GTACCACTGTACATTTTCCTGTGAGCCAAAATGTTCACAAAACAAACATTTGTGAACTGAGGTACCACTGTACATTTTCCTGTCTTAGATTCAGTTATGTGCATGTATACACATAACACAAATGCCTTCACATGTATACACAAGCACTCATTATTATTACTAATATTTTAGGAAATTATTTTAAGTGTGACTTCCACATATTTCCCATGTTTTAGTTACTTTTCTCGTTGCTGAGACAAAATACCTGACACCCAAAGTTAAAGGAGGAAAAGTTTATTTCAGCTCACAGTTTGTAGAGGTTTTCAGTCCATAATTGGATGGCTCCAAGGCGGGGTGGCATGACAGAGGACCATCACAGATGAGAAACAGTTCACTGTGGGCAGAAGGCAGGAAGCCAGCAAAGCAACAAAGTACTGGGGCAGCAACAAGCGGCAAGCAGTGACAACAGCAGCTCTCTTTTTGTCCCTTATTATTCCATCAGGGTACCTGCCCTTAGAGTGGGTAGCACTCACACCCAGGGTGGGGCACCCTTAAATCCTAGCATCACACTGAGAATCAATCCCAGCATCATGTCTTTAATGCCAGCATCACACACTCTAGATCCAGCCACCTCTGAGAAGCTCCACCTGTTACCATATGAGGCTTTGGGGTGACATCTAGACCGCCCCCCCCAATACTCTGTTTCCTTAGTGTTTATGGTTTTATTTTCTTAGGGATTAAAAATCTTTTTATGAACATTTCCCATAGCAAAATCTCTAGTTGTCTAAGTGTCTTAATTAATTGAAGCTGAAACATATCTTTTCCCTGCATGACTCTAGGGTGATGAACTTCTTTGAAGCAAAGGAGGCAGAGGATGACTTCAACCAGAAATCACTTAACACTTAGCCTAAAACTTACACTGTATTCATTACTTTACCTATGTCTCACGGTGATATACATGCATAACTAGAAAATTGTTTGACTTATTTTCCAGTGACATCTTTAATGATCTTTTATTGGTAAAATGAACTTGGATGATTTTCTGCTGTTTCATTATATTTTGGTTCTGGTTCTTCCATTCACTTCCTTCTTTGGCTTCCTCTGTTCAAAATTAGGATAATGAGTTTTCTCTCTTCCTACTTTTTGGGGAAATGTTTAATGGTGAAATGCTGTTTTTGTGTAAATATGAGTTCTTTTAATACACAGTGACGAGTAAAGACTTAGTGTTTCCATTCAGTCTGGCTCTTTTATGTCAGATAATAAATATTAAATTCCAATACCAAGAAAGGCCTTGTGTGATTTACTATTACATTATATATTTAATGTATGATAAAATATTAAATATAACTTAAATGATTCTGATGGGGTGATTAATTTGTGGAAGACCTCTAAATTGTGTATTTATAATTGTGTTAAAAATAGCAATGTAAGTTTTCCTGTGGCTGTCACGAGACTTGTCATAAAAGAAGTGTATAACTTGTTTATACTCATTTCTTTTGCTAGTAAGTAACTGTGCAGAGACCCCTTTTCATTTTTACTCAGTTTGATTTAGAACACTACATAATCTTATATTCACAAGTCCTTGGCAAGTAGGAGGTCCTATTTAGGACTTCCCAATTATTTATTATTTTGCAGTAGTTCTCTGAAATAATTTCAAGAACAATAATTTGCCCTTTATCACATAATGACAGTTGATGGTATTAACATTTTACTTTTAAATATTAGAATGGTTTTGAATATTCATAATTGTATGGATAATTGACATTGTGATGGTTTTTTGAGGGATAGAGAAAGATTTGCTTGTAAGTTGGGAGGAGAGAGAAGTTATCTGTAAAGAACTAGTTATGGATTTTATTTCCTCTTTTGGCACAGTAATTCCAGTTGTTAATAACATTTGAAAACTTAGTGAATGCATTTACTTTTTGAGATTTTTCAATCTAATTGCATATTTTTGAAATCTTGGTGACTTTCAGAAACTCACAGAAGAGAAATACCAAGTGGAACAATGTGTAGATGAGGCATCTATTGTAATTCGGAATACAAAAGAGCCCACACTAACTTTGAAGGTGATACTTACTTCCCCTCTAATTAGGGACGAATTGGAGAAGAAGGATGGAGGTACACTTATATAGATACATATGTATATGTATATAAATTTGGATTGTGTTGTGCATATAAGACCTCTCTTAAATGCCATGTTAACTATGCTTTATGGGTTTACAAAAATCACAATCTTTGTTTTATGCCACCCATAATATTTTAAACAGCTTAGTTTTACATAATCAATATAGTATATTTTTCAAAAGTACATAATTTCAAAATATGAAATGTTAGTTTAAAAACCTGTGCTTATCATTTGGGTCTTGACTCTGCTTTCAGTTTCCTACCAACTTGGTGTTCTGTTTTACTTTGCCTAGCATTGCTGTGGTATCTGTATCAGCCAGCTTATTCTAAGTATTTTGGCTGAATGATCAGATCTCAGGATTACTCGTGGGTCAAAACAAAATTGTTTTCAAATCACTCACTTGAGTGTTATTTTTGACTTTTAATAACTATATAATCTTGTAAAATTTATGTTTTGTTTAGCTGCCTGTGTGTAGATTTGTTTTATAATGTAAGGAATGTGAACTGGGGGATTAATTTTTTTCAGTGAATTTTTTTTTTTTTTTTTTTGGTACCAGGGATTGAACTCAGGTCCTTGAGCTTGTGAGGCAGGTGGTGGAACCACTGAGCTAAATCCCAGGCCCTTCAGTGAAGTTTTTAGTCAATTTTTTGGTGTTTGTGACTTTGTTAACATTTTGAATATGATATATGTGAGAATTGTGTTTTAAACTTTTTTTCTGAAGTTAAAAAATACTTGGTTTTTTTTTTCAATGATTCTCCATGCTTATATATCATTACCAAAATATACTCATGACAAGTATTAAACACAAAACAACAAAGTGTTTACATTAAACAATAAATTAGAGCTTCCTTTCACAGGTGGCAGCATTTTAAATGCAAGTTTGTAAGTACTAAATATTTAATTGTATCAATTTATCCAGAATTGTGAGTTATAAGAAGCACTTCCTGATGTTTATCCTTAGGGTTCAGGTTTGGACTGGAGCAAGTCCTTGACTGCTTATCTCTCTCTCTCTTTTTTTTTTTTTTGCTTAAATTCTTTTATTGGTACATTTTAGGTATACAATATGTTTACATTTATCATTGGGTGCTTGTACCTGTGCATGATGTATCTTGGTTTAAAAAATACTTGTTATATGATAGTGTCACCTTCACAAACGTAGAGTGAGAAGTCTGTTATTGGTAGTTTTGAGAAGTAATGGTAGAGGTGTGGTGGGATTCTTTTTCTGATGTTTTTATCCTTTCAAGTTAGCTAGCTCTTCAGTCCTGTCTCAGGAAACTTTGCCATGTGATGTTTTCCTTATGTCAGACTTTTGATCAAATGTCCACCTCTCATGACAATTGAAAGGCAGTGTGGCCTATCTGGGCCAGTGGGGATTCTCTGTTGCTATTTTTCATTTCTTAAATTTCAGCAAGTCTCATTGCTGACTCTTCTACTTGAAATACCACCAATATGGTAAGAAATATTGGTTAGTTTCATAGTTTATTTCAAGTTGGTGATAAGGGTAGAAAAAAGTATACATAAAGGAAGTTAGATTTTTAAATTTTTGGTAGACATTATTCATAGGATTCTTAAACTAAAAGCTATAGAAATAGTTTAAACAACGTTTTTGGGGGTAAAATCAGTTACACTATACCCAGTAGATATATTTATGGGTCATATTTTAATCAAAGTGCATCCAGCCTATAATTGAGTTTATCCTGTACTGCTTCACCTATTTATAGCACCTATGGTACCTCTGAAGAATCAATCTTAAACAGCTTAATTTTTTTTAACAGCAGAACTTTGATTTCTGATGTGTCAAGATAAATGTTAATTCTGGTAAGCTGTATTCTGTTTGACCCTGTAGTATAAAACCAACCATTTTAAAAGTAGAGTTGTAATTACAGGTATTGTTAAAAATTATTTGAGTATCGCTTGTTGGCCTTTTGGCTAAGATCAAGTGTAAAAATTATTTGAGTATAAGGAGATGAGAAAAAGACTGAAATTGCCAAAGCTTAGGTTAATTGTGTGTTTGCTTGCATCTGTTGGTTCAAGCAGTCAAGAGACTATCAGTCTTCCTTTTCCCAATAGTTTTGTGCACTTACATGAAGTTTTGCCATAGCTTTTAGTAATACCTTTGAGCTTAGTCTGTTCCCTTAAAAACCTTAATTTCTGTTCATGGAAGCTGAAAATGGATTCTTAGTGTATTGTACCCTTGCAGGAACACTATTTATCATAACATGAGATTTGTAATAAAATAGGAGTGTTGTAGTGTCTGCTCAAGATGTTTGAGTTACTAGGAAGCCAGAGACCTCCATGAGCTGATGTGTTAGACAGATAAGATGAAGGAATCATCTTGAAACTAATGTTTTACATGTGTTACTTCCTATCCTTTTGAGTAGCAGAAAGATTTGCTTTGCCATTATCAAGAATGTCCCAGCCCTGTTGACTCACTTGATTTTTATAATTTACTCATTTTGTCTAACCTGGGCTTTGTCATACCTGTTGTGTGTATCCTTGGGCAACTTGGGAAATCCGGTGTGACTGAGCATTTCAGATATGGGCTGATTCATTTTGCCCACACTAGGTACTCCTCATCCGGCAATGCAGTTCTTTGCAGATGCATGGCATGAAAGTACTACAAGATTCATTCAGATTCTGGGGAGTTCTAGGACTGAAAAATGGGCCCCCCTTTTTAATTTCTACTCACTTTCTCAAAGTTTTAAGAATACTTATTGTAACTTTTTTCTTGGAGACATTTTCCTATTGTATCTTGACTTCTTTGACCCATCCCCAAACAATTTGCAATACCTACCTCATGCATTTCACTCCCTTCTTTTAATTTGCCACATAGTTTGGTAAAATCTAAATAGTGCAGAGCTGGGCTTGGTGGCTAAAGACTGTAATCCAAGCACTTGGAAAGCTGAGGCAGGAAGATTACTGCAAGTTTGAGGCCAGCCTGGGCTGTATAGTCAGTTCAAGACCAGCCTGAGCTACAAAGCAAGACCATGACTCAACAAAAATAAAAAACAAAAAACAAAAAAACAAAATCTAAACAATGGAAAAAAACATAGTTGAGAGGCAGCAGAACCAGGGAACTGAGACAAGTTAGAGCATCAAATTTATCTCCTTAGTCTTACCTGTGTAGAAGTGGATCTAACTACTTATTTTAAATCACCGCTTATATTTTAAATTGCTAGAGTACACTTTGAATATCTTTGGTATTATTCATGATTTCATTGTCAGACCTCCTCCATATTCTACCCTTTTACTTGAAGGCCCTGTGGTAACCATTTCCCCATTAGTATTTCACGTTTCTTTTTTAAAAAGGTATAGGAGAAAAAGCATAGACCTTGGTGCATAACAGCCTTCGGGTCAGTGCTTGCTCCCTTAGTGTTGCTTTGTGACAGTGAGAATGCTTCATTTGGAAGTGTAGTTATTAAATATCTCAAAAAGTTGTTTGGAGTTTAAAGGAAAGAATGTATGTAATATGACTTATACTGTATAATTACTGGCACAAAGTACCTGCTCAGTGAATAGTGGTAACCACTCGGCTTACTAAAGACTTATAGTGCAAACCCATCTAGTCAGACTGCTTTGAGTTAACAGTGAGAGTAATAGGTGCACAATAGAGACCTGAACTGGAACGTTGTTAAACTCATAACCACTCACTGAAGTGTAGTGCCGGAATTAGCATATAGTATTTTCTGCAGTGCAGTAATAATTCACTGGCTTATTGTATAGCTGGTGATTTATTGAGGGCAGAGTTCTTTTTTCCTATCCTTATCCTCTATCCTTAGTGCCTTTGTATGATACCTGATACATAGGAGATGATTTAAAAAATACCACACATAAATCTATAAAGTGAATTTACACAGCACATTGTCTGATAAATAGGACTGTGCAGTGGGCAAGAAAGAAAGCATTAACAGTGAGTAGCATCTTACAGCTCAAGCAGTATGTATAGAAGATTCATCTCTGTTAAGGTATTTTGTGACCTACTGTGTGATAAGCATTTCTCTCATATATCACTTACTTTAAAAAACCCTCACTAGGGCTGGGAATTTTGCTCAGTGGCACCATGCCTGCCTCGCAAGCACAAGATCCTGAGTTGGAGCTCTGGTACTAGAAAAACAAACAAACAAACAAACAAACACACCTCATGACAGCCCTATGAGGTAGATACTGCCCTGGTTCACAAATGAGGGAAATGTCACATATGCCCAGGTCCTTTGACTTGAAGTCCAGTATCCAGTGCGCTCTCCCCTCCTGTCTGAGGGTATGACCTGCATGAATGGTTTAGCTACTATAGTCATTGTGAGCACCACAAAGTCTCAGCTCCTTTTGGTGCTTGTGATTTTAAACCAGAAGTATATTTGCTATTAGGGGTAATAAATCATCTTTTTATTATGTTTCTAATGCAATTTGAAACCAAGTGGATAGGCAAACTAGAGACTCTTCTAGGACAAAATTCTGTACTTAGTACTGGGCTGGATTCAGGAGTGGACAGAGAAGTCCCTGTGAATCTCTTTGTGTGCTGGTGCCTGTGTGAGCTTCTGATTACTCGTGGCAGAAGTTCCTTAGCATGTGTCTGGAGAGCACAACTGGGGTTATAATGATGCTACAGTCTGTATTTCCCTGCCTTTCCTGGCAGCTAATCTTATCCAAAGCAGACCTTTGGCTGTTATCTTTCCAGTGCTTGACTGTCACTGAAGAAAAGTCACATTGAGTGACTACTAGCATAAGTTATGAGAACAATCTCTTTCTGGTTCTACCTTATTGCTACATTTACCTGTCTACATTAGTGTGTCCTCACATTTTACAAGAATAGTGACTTGGGGCAAAATGTCTTCTTTCCAGAAATCTTCAGGGAATTGAGAGAGAAGGGGCTGCCAGGATATCCTCAGGCTAACCGGAACATTCTGTCACCATGGACTCAGTAGATCAGGTCATTCAGACTGTGAAGGAGCCTGTCATGGTGCCCCAGCTCAGTTATTTTACTTTAGAAGGGTCCAGATTCTAGACATGGAACTCCTATTTAACATAATCCTGTTTGGATTTTTCCTGCCCCATCTGCAGGCTTGAGCTTTTGTTAATGGGGCCAGGTAGTGTGCATGTAGATACTGAGAGAAACTGACCAACATTTCGTGCACTTTGGTGTGATTCTGGTCATTGATCCAACCTCTGACCAATAAACACGGGTAGGCGTGATGGGCTTCTTCCCAGTGCTTTCCTGGTTCAGAATGTTGGCTGCACCTTCATGCTCTGATGTTAGGTTACTGAGTAATAGTTTTTTTTTTTCTTTTTAGTTTTTTGAGGTGGGGTCTCACTGTGCAGTTCAGGCTGGCCTTGAGCTATGTAGCCTAGGCTGGGCTTGAGCCCACAGCAATCCTCCTGCCTCAGCCTCCTGAGTACTGAGATCACAAGGGTGTGCTGTGGGCGCCCCCCCCCCCCGCCTGAGTAATAAATTTTTAAAAGCTATTTTTCTTTGTTTTTGGCATTTTTGTCAATACCCCTCCCCCTAACCTCCCATGCTATTTATCTGTTTCACTGATCGCTGTTAAGAAAAAAGGGAAAAAAGGTCACACTTCTGTTGTTTCTAATTAAGGACACCAAGATGTCTTTTTATCAGAAAAGCTTTCTTCCTGACAAAATTGAAGCACCTATGTTAATGTCCAGAAATACTAAACTTGAGATTCTGTTACCAGTAGCAATGTTTTCTCAGAAGCGTTTCATTGATTGCCACATTGGTGAATTGATTGATTGATTGATTGGAGACAGGGTTTTACTGTGTAGTTCATGCTGGCCTTGGGCTTGCTACAATGCTCCTGCCTTAGCCTGCCGAGTGCTGTGATTACAGGTGTATGCCACCACACCTGGCGTGAAGTTATTTTTTTAATCAATGGAAATATATAAAATAGTGTATTATTAATCACATAAAGGAATAGGCAGATGGGTGTTATAAGTTGCACTGTAATATATGATTTAATCTTTTTTGTTTTGTTTTGTTTTTTTGGTACCAGGGATCGAACTCGGGTCCTTGCACTTGTGAGGCAGGTGGTAGAACCACTGAGCTAAATCCCTGGCCCGATTTAATCTATTTTAATATAAAAATGAAGGTTAAATGAGATGAATTGTATCTCTTCTACTGTTTGAAATATTTTGGACCTTTTGACTTTTTAACTGTCAGAGCATGAAGAAACCTGGCCATTCTGATGCTGATGTAAAGGGAAACTGTTGCAGATCTTCTGTCCAGTGCCGGTCCCTTTCATCTCTTTTTAGTAGAATCTATTGTCTCCAAATGTTGACTGTCTGTAGTAAGCTGCTGTCTTTTTTGTTTTGTTTTGTTTTGGTACTGGGGATTGAACTCAGGACCTTGTGCTTGGAAGGTAGGCATGGTGCTGCTAAGCTAAATCCCCAGCCCTTGTCTTTTTTTTTTTTTTCTTTTTAAAGTAAGATTTTGTGGTCATAATCTTGACTCAGATGAGTTTTGTCAAAATATTTTTCAGTTGTTCCCCACTTAAAAATATCTCTGTCACATCAGAATAAGATATTGTTTATAGGCTCTGACCACTGGATGAAATACTTACTACAAAGTACAAAGAGAATTTTGGCCCAACTTGTCTTTTTCTATTCGAACTTCCTTTGCTTCACTTCCCTCTTCCTTTGTTTCTATCTTCTAACATCTCTACTTGGTAAGATAGTAGACTAAATCACAGCTTGCCATACTGTTAATTTAAAAATTGGAGTCACAAAAAATAAAAGCAAAGTCTTACACCTTTCATTTGGATTACGTTATCTAGCAGCCAGTCAACCTTTGTCATGTCTAACTTGTAAGAGATTCTAATCATTCATTTATAGTAGTTGTTTTATTTGCTATCTGAGCTTTACATAGGTGCTTGTGTTGACCACAGTTAAATATTTTGACACAAAAACATTAAAATGAGTTAGTTGTATATTTTTATATCACTTAAAGACAATATTGCCAGGTGTGGTGGCACATGTCTATAATCCCAGCACTCTGGAGGCTGAGGCAGGAGGATTGCCAAGAGTTTGAGGCCAGCCAGGGCCATGTAGTGAGTTCAGGACCAACCTGAACCACATAGTGAGACCCTGTCTCAAAACAAAAACAAAAAGACAAAGTTGAGCAAGTCCTGCAAGTTAGATCACCTATGAATACCAATAATATATTTGTTTATATTTATATGTAAGTACACATTAATAATTCTTTTTGAGGCTTCCCATTTTTTGAGTAAAGGGGGGGAGTAATGAAATGAGACCCTGTGTTGTGGCATGTATTGGCAGAGGGAACAATGCGGATATCTTCTGTAGAGCTTGCCTGGTCAGAAAATAAGCATGTAGCACTTCATCCTTTAGAGTGTTGAAACCAATATAGAGAACCCATGATTCTTCCTTTAAAATATTCGCTTTTAGTTGGGCTTTATACTTTCAGTTTTAATTAATGGCATTTTATCAATGGGAATAAATGGTTGAATTTGCAGTAAGAGTCCCTGAAAACTAAGGAGACCAAAATGATCTATGTTCCATTTAAAAACACTTACATTGTGTCAGTTGGCTCACACAGATGTGCTACTGAGTCTTGCTACGTTTTGAGAATACTGAGAAGAAGTGATGGTGGATTCATTTACATTTTAAGAGAGTTCTTTTGCTAGACTAATAAGTCTGACTTAATTGGATTGGATGAAGTGTTATTCCCCCAAAATATTTGTATTATTTTAAGTAATGCATCAAATTGTCAAAAAATCTTTTAAAAATCTAACCATTTTTAGTAGTTCAGAGGAAATAAATTTGACTATATGGATTTGGATTTAGATCATGTGACATCAGGTACAGGTATTTTTCATTAATCCCTTTTATGTTTGAATTTTTAATTTTTCAGCCTTTGGGCTAGCTAAACCAACTTTAAAATGTTGAGGCACTTCAGCTATAATTAGATATGGTCTGTGAACTGCCTTTATTAAAAAGATATCTAAAACTTGGAATGTATTTTAATTTTTATAGTTTTTTTTTCTTTTCTTTTTTGTACAGGGATCGAACTTGGGTCCTTGCGCTTGCACAGCAGGCGGTGAAACCACTGAGCTAAATCCCCGGCCCTTATGTTTATAGTTTTAATATTTTGTTCAGAGAAGAGATAATAGCACTTCTGCATAACACTTAGGTTTCCTTAAAAACTGATCAGTTGGGCCAGGGATTTAGCTCAGTGGTTCCGGTGCCTGCCTCGCAAGCGCAAGGTCCCGAGTTCAATCCCCGGTACCAAAAAAACAAAACAAAAACAAAAACAAAAAAAACTGATCAGTGATCAAAATTTCTTGTATTAAAAAAAAGTTGTTATTGTTCCCAGATTTCTTTTCTTTGTACCTTGGCAAAGGAAAAGGCATTATGTACTTACTTTGTACCCTGTGTTTTTATCCATGCTTTTTTTGGTACCGGGGATCAAACTCGGGTCCTTGCGCTTGTGCAGCAGGCGGCGAAACCACTGAGCTAAATCCCCGGCCCCCATATCCATGCTTATTAATAAGATCCCAGATTGTAAGAAGCTGTGGTTACTGATTTGTTTGCTGAATGAATCCCTTTGTGTTCCATTGCACTTGTCCACAGATTCCACTCTCAGGACTCTTTTTTTTTTTTTTTTTTTCTTCAGGACTCTTTATTTAAATAATTGCGCATATAACTTTTCAAAAAAGCAACAAAGCCACATCATGAAATTTTCTGGGAGTCTTATTAGTTTACTCAGATGCTACTATTCTTTTTATTTTTTACCCTTTGGTAATGTTAACAAGAACCCCTAGGGCAAATTGTATCTGTAACTCTCTATCCTATTTTACCATTAGAAAATGTTGCGATGAGAGATCCTCTGGACTTACTGGACAGGCAGAAATGCTTGAATGCCTTGGCGTCTCTCCGACATGCCAAGTGGTTTCAGGTTGGCTATTTGTTATTGTCTTATTGTTAATTCTGTCCTTGTGAGGGCTTCATTTGGAACACCTGCCACTTACTGGTTTCTGTGCAGTATGTAGAGTGGGGGTACTAGCTCATAGAGTTTTGGGGTAAATGAATTAATTTAGGTAAAATACCTAGAATAGCTTCTATTATATAGTTAATTATGTTTTGTTATCGTATAATTCTTTTTAGCTTAATATTCAAAATTGTAAATGATGGCTCAAAGTACAAACATGGGCAAAAAAAGCTAAAAGTTAAGAAAGGCAGTAGGCAGAATGGAGTTGTCATGATGCTACAAGAGGAATTTTAATATTATGTTCCTTTTACTTTAACATCTGGTTTTCTGAACCAAATTTACTACTTTTGATAACTTGGTAATTTTGGTTTGCTTGAAAGTGATGAATGACTTGCTAATTAGTATTCATTTTAGAGAACTGATTCATGATCAGTGTACTTAAAATGAAGAATGGATTTCAACAGGGATATTGGAATCATTTTGTTTGTTTTAGGCAAGGGCAAATGGATTAAAATCATGTGTAATTGTTCTTCGTATTCTACGTGATTTGTGCAACAGAGTCCCCACATGGGCACCATTAAAAGGATGGGTAAGTACTTAAATACAGTTAAAAGTAAGTTCTAAGTTTTGAAGCTGTAGCAGAGGAATAACATGGTACTATAAAATAACTACCCTCTGAGCTAGCTATGGTGTGTGTTTATCTGTTTTTGCCCTGGAACAAATATATATATATTTTTATGCATATAACTTATCTCTTCTCTCTCTTATTCATGTTACAGATTCTAGGTTTTTTTCTGATAAAAAGGTTTTGTGTTATTTAGTAGTAATTGTCTAATGGTGTGTTGGTGCGCACCTGTAATCCCAGCCCCCAGAATGCTCAGGCAGTAGCATCTTCAGCTAGAGGCCAATTTGCACTGCCTTTTGTGACCCTGTTTCAAAAAACAAAACAGTTGGGTGTGGTGGCTCATGCTTGTAATCCCAGAACTTGGGAGGCTGAGGTGGGAGGATTGGTGTGAGTTAGAGGTCAGCCTGGGCTACAAAGTGAGTTCAAGGCCAGCCTGAACTGTATAGGGAGACCCAGTCTCAGGGAAACAAAAGAAAACAAGTAAATGTTTACCTGTTTTCAACTTCACACTGGTGGTTGATTGCTCATTTGTCAACTGCTGCCCATAAAAGCCTTTCTGTGTGGTTTTTTTTTTAAAAAAATTAATTTTATTGGTACATTTTATGTGTACAATAAAATGACATTCATCATTGGAAATTTGCACCTTTACATACTCTCTTGACTCTCATTTTTTCCCTCTTCCCCTGCCCTCCCTTCAACCCCTCCACCCCTCACTATTTACGAAGACTTTGTTTCCATTTTTTCATTTTCTCATATTAATTCCATTTCCTCTTTTTTCTTTTTTTGGTGCTGGGGATTGAACTTGGGTCTTTGTGCTTGCGTAGGAGGCTGCGAAACCACTGAGCTAAATCCCCAGCCTCTTTTTTCTTTTTTTAAGACAGGGCGTCAGTCACTGTGTAGTTTAGGCTGGCCTTGAACTTGTTGTGATCCTTCTGCCTCAGCTTCCCCAGTGCTGGGATTACAGGCATGCACCATTGTACCCAGCCCAGTTTTCTTTTAGTGCCTCTTTCTGTTAGTTGGAAATGACCTGAATAGCCAGTATAAAATTCCTATACCTTCCGTAGCTTTTTCCTCAACAGGAGATATTTACAGATAAGTTCCTGTTAGTAATTAAAGTCAAGCAAACAGTATATTTAAACCACTTATGGATGTAGTTTATGGTATATAATTCGTAGCATTGACTTAATTTAAAAATTATGCCTAACCCAAGCAAGACTGTACCTTAAGAACATTATAAGATAATTCAAATAAAACTGTGAAGAGTCATTTATAAATTAGAAACTAACAATTATTACTTTGATAGAGTACCATGAGTTTCAGTTTGTTAAATATAGAGACTTGGTCCTTTGTTTATTCTAATTACGTACTTGAGTCAAGCTATCTGAAATGAACTCTTACTCTTATATTGAGATAATTATAGTTTGAATGTTTCCTTAATAAGTTAAATGGAATATGGGTGGGCTGGGTTCATATATTCACTAGTTATTAGCTATTACTAACTTGTACGAAGGCTTGTTAAATCTTTGTTAAATGAATTAGATCACTGTAGTTTCTTTGAGTGATTCAAGGAAACTAAAAATTAATAAGTTTTTGTTAAAAATTGTCTTCTGAAAATATCTCAAATGCTTGTTTTAAAAAACTGGTTGGGGTTAAAAAAATTGATAATTATGGGGAAGAGTTAAGTGGGCCCCAAATGTTAAATTGACTCACTTTTTTGGCTTCCCTTGTAGATAGAAATGTCAGCTCACATTTAACTGGACTCCTTTTAACACTTGGTGCATGTACTAATTTGTAATTTAATATCTTCTAGCCACTAGAGCTTATATGTGAAAAGTCTATAGGTACTTGTAATAGACCTTTGGGCGCTGGGGAGGCCTTGAGACGAGTAATGGAGTGTTTGGCATCTGGAATACTACTTCCTGGTAAGGGTTTCAAACTCTGGAGGCAGAAGAATCAGAAAAATTTAATTTTAGTTAATTTGTCTAAATATATATTAAATTTGTCCTCTGCACAAGAAAATGATGTTGAAGAGTCATTTTGCTTGGAATTTTAGGAAGTAGAATTGTTTGTGTATTGGGAAAGTGCTATAAAATTTTTTCAATAATTTGTGTTGTATATTTACTAACATAAAGGGTACTAATAAGATACTTTGTCTATGAATTCGCTTTACGTGGAAGTCTGATTTTGAAAATGCAGATGTTTATTTAAAATGTATGAAGTTCATTCTGTTTGCAGTCTGGTGTTAAATTTGGAAAAAGTTAAATTTGGTCTTATTTTCCATCTATAATCCTTTTAACAATTTGGAATGATTCATCTGCTGTTTCTAAATTCTCAATGTAAGACCCAATTTTGGTGTTAGTTATACAAGTGACTTGCAGTATAAAATAAGACAGTTAAGTGCCAGTATATTCACAATGAGAGTGTCCCTAAATACTCCACTTAATTGAGCAGATTTTTAGTTCTTCAGTTTTTTCTTTTTTTCTCTCTCTCTTTTGTGTTAGTTTACTGAATTCTGAACTGTTATAAATGATGTTTGTGTTTTGCCTTTGCCAAAGGGGGTCCTGGTCTTCATGATCCCTGTGAGCGGGACCCGACAGATGCTCTGAGCTATATGACTGTCCAGCAAAAAGAAGATATCACCCACAGCGCACAGGTAGAAGACTGGGCACATCTTTGTTTTCTGAACTGTTCTGTTTGAACATCTTTTTCTTGCATGCTGTTAGAGACTTTTGCTGTCTTAATAGCTGCATTTAATGAATGTCATTTTAGCTATATATTCTAAGGGATTTTATGAATGGCAGTTGACATTTGATTGAATATAATGTTTTATTCCTTAGCATGCACTCAGACTATCAGCCTTTGGCCAGATTTATAAAGTGTTGGAGATGGACCCCCTTCCATCTAGTAAGCCTTTTCAGAAGTATTCCTGGTCAATTACTGATAAAGAAGGTGAGCATGAGTTTTGTGTTTGTTTGTTTGTTTGTTTTTTAAATTAGGGTTAAAGGTTGGCAGTGATGGTCTCGTTAGAGCTTAAGGATTTTATTCATTATTTGTGCAAGTAATCTATAAGAAAAGTAACTGCTTTTCTTAGCTCTGTCTCCATTGGTGACGTCTACTTGCTATCATTTGTTCTTATTAGTGATCGATTCATTTGGCTGTGTTGGCAGATTTTGTTACTGTATAAACTTAGGGGGTATATTTTGAGAACCTCTCATCTAAGGAGATAGATTAAACCAGAAACTAGGAAGGGGACCCAGTCACTGTCACTGATCAGTTTGATGATCTTTCTCATATTTGAAAGTGTTAAATAATGAAAAAGAGAGAACAAAAATATAGAGGAGGAATAGAATAATATTGGAAAAATTCTGGACTGTCTTCCATTTGTACTAACTTGTTTGAACTCAGCTTAGAGTTTCAGCAGAAAGAGGATCAATATGACCAGGGTTTAAGCATAGCTCTACTACTTACTAGTTTTGAGGCCTTGAGCAATTAGTTCCTTTTTCTTGGTAGGGCTGTTACCATCTTTCTTCCTCTGTTGGCTCTTGTCAGGTTTAAATACCTAATTCAGTGCTTGGAATAGAGCACACACTCAAATATAAATCTTCCTTACTGTTCTCACTGTGCCACAGAAAACATTTAATTTTTTTTCTCCATCCTCCCATGTTATACTAGAAGGTGGGGTGCTTAATACCAGATATTCCTCACTTAGGATGCACCCTCCTCCTACAATTGATCTTATTTTCCTAATTCCTATATAACAAAAATAGTTGAGTCTCCCAGTTTACATAGGCAGCAGAATTCCAGTAGGTGTCAAAGTGTACTTAGGAAGTCCACAAGATCAAAACTCTTTCATAATAATAGTATTAAGGCCTTTTTATTGCCTTTTCCGCTCCTTCATGATTATACATTTTACCAGAGGCTAACATGTCTTAGTTCCTTTTCTCGTTGAAGATACCTGACACCCAGAGTTAAAGGAGGAGAAAGGTTTATTTGGCTCATAGTTTGTAGAAGTTTCAGTCCATAGTTGGCTGGCTCCAAGGCAGGGTGGTATAGCAGAGGGGCATCGCAGAGGGGAAACAGTTTATGGCAAAGCAGGGCAGGCAGAAGGCAGCAAAGCAATAAGGAACTACAAGCAGCAGCTGCAGCTGCAGCTGCATCAGCAGTAGCATCAGCAAGTGATGCCAGGAGCCCTCTTTCTGTCCCTTATATTCCTTCCAGGCTACCTGCCCTTTGGGTGGTGCCACCCACACCCAGGGTGGGCCTTCCAATTATCCACACCCAGAACTATGGCAAACCAATCAGTGGACTAATTTAGTAACCACACACCCTTAAGCCCAGCACCACACGCCCTAGATCCAGCCACCCCTGAAAAGCCCCACCCATGACTGCATGAGGCTTTGGGGGAACATTTAGACATAGGCATGACACATAGGATATGTGATGACAGCATTGCCACCACAAGGCAATGCTCTCTGGATTCGCAGCAATGTTTTAGGAGTATAAAGTGGTTCTGAGCTAAAAAGATCATTGCTTATACTGTAAACTCTGCAGAGGAAGGGATTCTCTAGATTCTTCCATATTATTGTTAAAAAGTGGTACTCAGTAAAATGTGTGGGAAGAAAGCCATTTTCTTTTAGTGGATCTTCACTCACTGGCAGTGAAATTTGTTTTGTTTGTTTGTTTCAGGCTGGCCCTGAACTCACTGTGTAACCCAGGCTGGCCTCGAACTCTCAATGATCCTCCTGCCTCAGCCTCCCGAGTGCTGGGATTACCGGTGTTTGCCCACTGAATCTGGCTTCTTTTTTTCCCTTGAGACAGGGTCTTGCTATGTAGTTCAGACTGGCCTTGAACTTGCGGCAATTCTCCTGCCTCAGCCTCCTGAGTGCTGGGATTATAGGCATGAGTCACATTGGCAATGAAATTAAAGAGATAAACATGTCCTCATGACATTGAGCATTGTGAATTGAATGATGACTAAAAATTTCCAAAAAAATCCTTATTAGTAACAAAATTTTTATTTCAGTCACATTGAATTTAGCACTTTTTTATCCACTAGATAGTAAAAGTACAGTATGTCTGTTAAGTAACTTTCTTTTTCTTTTCTTTGATTCAATTTTAATTTTTAATTTAATGTATGTATGTATGTGTTTTTGAGACAGAATCTTGCTATGTAGTTCAGGCTGGCCTTGAACTTGGGGCCGTTCTCCTTCCTCAGAATCTCACTATATAGTTCAGGCTGGCCTTTAACTCACTGTGTAGCCCAGAATGGCCTCAAATTCATAGTGATCCTCCTGCCTCAGCCTCCCAATTGCTAGGCCACCACGCCTGGCCTTTCATTTTTCAATTTTAAAGTTCTTAGGTGTTTAGGAACTGCTGGTCTGTCACCTTATGAGTAGAGCATAAAATGGAACCAGGCATATACTTTTGCTTCGTTGATCCCCTCTTTCTGACAATATTCTAACTGGTAGAAATCCATCTCTACTTACACCAGGTTGCTGAACATGTTTGGGGAAAAGAAATCCTTTTCTGTCTGACACTAAACTCACAGGGAGTATTTGTGTTTTCTGACAATTCTGAATGTTTGAGAATTCTTCAGCTTTCCTAGGTAACTCACACCTTCTACTTCCCATTTCCATCTCTACCTTGTTTCTCATACATTGGCCTTATTTGCTTCTATTTTCTCAGATCAATAGAAATCTGTAGATAACTGTATATGCTCTCACTACTCTTGTCAGCCAGCCTAGCTTCATCAGCTCACGTTCTTTGCTTTCCTTTCCTTCCCTGTGGCTAAGCTGTGTAGTCTCTAATGACCAGCTTTTCTGCTAGTCCACTTGGTCACATCCCTTCTTGCCTGCCGGTGGACTTTATTCCAGCAGTCATCTCTTCACCAGTGCCATTTTCTCCCCTCCACTGAGGCATTTTCATCAGCAGGAAAACCTATAGTACAGTATGTGCCAAACGGAACTCTCCTTAATTCTGTAGCTCCTCCAACAGAGTCACATTCTCAGGCCCCCTTTAGAGTTGTACTTTTAGAAAGAATGACCTGTTTCTTTTTTTCATTTTCCTCACTTTGTGTTCTCTTTTGAATCTGTTCCGTTCAAGCTTTGTTCCTTGGTCCTATTTGGAAATCTTGCTTGTGACCTTCCTGTTACCACACTCAGTGATTTGTTTTTATTCCTCATCTTAGCCTACTCTTCAGCAGCTTTTGACACAGATTAATACTTTTTCTTCCATATTTATTTGATTATGAGGTATAGCACATATGTAGAAATAAATATAAGGTTAAAAATATTTTTAAAAAATACATATAGGCCAGGGATTTAGCTCAGTGGTTTCGCCACCTGCCTCGAAAGCACAAGGTCCCGAGTTCGATCTCTGGTACCAAAAAAAAAAAATACATATAATCACCACCATGATTAAGAGATAGAAAAATATCAGCTCTTTAGGAGCCACCCATTTGTCTTGTGCCATTACCTTCTTACCACATGAGCTGCCATTCCTGACCTTTTGATAATCATGTCCTAGATTTTATTTCATAACTTTTATATCTGATTTCTTAAATAATTTAGCTCAATTTTGCCCAGAACTTTCTAGAAATAGAACTGTACTGAGTTTAATGTTTTGTGATTGCCTTCTTTCTGTCCAGGTTTCTTGGGACTAATTCATGGTGCTGCATTAGTTTGTTCTTTTTGTTCCCCCTTCCAGACAGGGTCTCGTTATGTAGTCCAGGCTGGCCTTGAACTTGTGGTGATCTTTCTGCCTCAGCTTCCCAAGAGTGCTGGGATTACAGGCATAAATCACCATGGCTAGCTTAGTTTGTTCATTTTAATAACTCTGTAGTATCCATTATGAATATATTACAGTTTATATCCAGTCTACTTTTGAAGGATATTTTAGTTCTTTAGTTTTGAAAACCACCTATAGCATTGCTGTGAGAGGTGTTTTTCTTTTTAATTTAATGTTTTTGGGGGGGCACTAGGGGCCACAAAACCTGGGGCTTTCACATTGAGCTACAACCTCAGCTCTTTTTTTTTTTTCCCGTTTTGAGATATTATTTCACTAATTTGCCCAGATTGGGCAAATCTTAGATCCTCCTTTCTCAGCCTTCCAAAGTGCTGGGATTTACAGGCCTGTGCCACTACACCTGGCTTGCTAGGATATTTTTATACCTGGCTTCTGAGATACGTTTCTTAAGAGCTACTGTAGGTCGGTAAATGACCAAATAATTTGTTGAATATACCAGTTTGTCCTCCCACCAGCAGAGAATTTTTGTTGTCCTGTATCCTCAACAACATTTGGTATCTGCCAGACACTTTTCTGATATGAAATACCACTTTACATTTGACCTCCACGTTGTCACTTTTTCTTGGTTCTTCTGGCCCCTGCCATCTGCTCGGTTATCTTTGTTCTTCCTCATCTTCCAGACTTCTAAATATTAGAGTCTCACGTTCCTGGCCTTAGACTTTTTCCTCCTTATTTATCTGCCTCTAGTCTCCTCTATCTTGGAATTTCTTCTCTACATCAGAGATTCTAGACCTTCCACTCAGAATGCCTCCAGGGTATGCATAGGGCTGTGGACTGCATCTTAAAGCTAAGATGTCTTAAATCCAGCCTCCTACCTCTGCTCTGCTCGTCCATAGCAACCCCATCCCAGTCACTGGAAACACTGCATGGACATTCTCAGTCTCCTGATCCGTCAAGCTGCTCAGGCCTTTGTCCTTCCAAGTCACTTAAATCCTTTCCTTTCTCCTATACTCATACCATCAACACTACAGGCTTGTACCACCACACCCAGCATGTTGTTGGTTGATTTCTTGATGTTAAACATTCTTTCGACAGTGACAAGGAATCTTGGCAGTGACAAGGAATCTCGGTGTTGTTTTAGTTTGCATTTCTCAGATGGCCAGTGGTGGTTTTTTTCATGTATTTATTGACCATTTGCTTTTCAT